ATTAGTGAAAGAACCGTTTCCATATCCGAGAAGTACACTTACAGTATGGCCATCCGAATTAGCGACGACGATATCCAGATGGGTGTCCTTATTAAAATCGCCAAGAGCTACAGATCGGGGCCAGACGCCAGTTGAATATTTAATATCATGACTGAAAGATCCGATGTCGTATGTAACCAGCACATCTACATAATCGATGCCATCATATGCAACGAAAATTTCTGAACGCCCATCTTTGTTGAAACTACCAGCACCAATCATCAGTGGAACGAAATCAAAATGTATACCGTAACGTCCTTGATTTTCAAATGTTCCATTTTCACTTCCCAGAAACGTAACAAGATTTTTAGTACCATAATTGACCACGGCAATATCCGCTTGATCGTCTCTATTAAAATCATGGATAGTGATGGAGTAAGGATGAGAATTTAAGCCTGTTGAGAGTACCATTTGATTTCTAAAAGTGCTATTCCCATATCCAAGAAGTACACCTATGTTATTAGTACCATAATTGACAACAGCGATATCCAATAGGCTATCATTATTGAAATCAAAAAGGGCAAAGTTTCGCAAACGAGAACCATCGGTAGACGCAAATGTGATTTTATCTTTCAAAGCTCCTCTGTCATATCGAAGTAGAACACCTACAGTATGGTCATTCCCATTAGCGACGACAATATCCGGTCGAGTGTCGTTATTAAAATCATCAACAGCTACAGCAATTGGGCCAGAGCCAGTTGAATATGTCGTTTGATTTGCAAAAGAGCCATTGCCATATCCAAGAAGGATACTTACAGTGTTGCCACCAAAATTAGTAACGACGATATCCAGTTGAGTGTCGTTGTTAAAATCACCAACAGCTACAGCGCTTGGCGAAGAACCAGTTGAATATGTTGTTTGATTTGCAAAAGAGCCATCACCGTATCCGAGAAGTACACTTATAGTGTTATCACCCGAATTAGCGACGACGATATCTAGATAGGTGTCATTGTTAAAATCACCTACAGCTACACAGTATCGGAGAGAGCCAGTTGAATATGTCGTTTGATTTGCAAAAGAACTATTGCCATATCCGAGAAGTACACTTATAGTATTGTCACCCGAATTAGCAACGATGATATCCAGTTGGGCGTCGTTGTTAAAATCACCAACAGCTACAGACCATGGCTGAGAGCCAGTTAAATACTTCGTTTGATTTGCAAAAGAGCCATCACCGTT